GTGGCACATCGTCATCATCTGCGTCGTCGATGTCTTTGATCAACCTCGGGTGCGAGTGCCGGATGTACCATTCCATGTAGTGCTGGTCACACATGGCAGTCACCCCACTTGGCGGCCGCTGCAGCTCCGCCGTCCATAGGCGGGCAACCATCGGAAACTGCTCCCACATGGATATCATGTTTGACGGCCATTGGACGACGTACTCCTTCGACGACGCAGATCGTACCGCCTTACTGGGCCATGCCGGTGGAGGTGGGACAACTTGGACAAATCCAAGCTGGCGAAGACAGCGCTGCGGCATGTACGCGTCTACGATCTCGCGATACTGAATCAGTCCAGTGTAGAGGGTCCTGGGTACCCTATTACTAGGGTTCTGGCCGAAAGGCATCCAGTTCACCTGCACATTATTTAAAATCAGTAACAGTCATAAAATAAAGCATCAGATTGTAAAAGTAGAAATAATTTAATCACTGTACCTCTAAGGGGGACATCCTGTCAAGCGATAACCGTATGGAGCGCTGGCGGTCAACGGACTTCTTCTCGACACGCGGACTCCACGCACAGGCACGTGGCTGGCCATCACCAATGGGAACCGGGTCGCGGTGTGGTCGAAACGCAGGAAAATACTCGTATATCCAGGTCTGTAACAACGTCAGACATCCAGTGATACCTGCTGCATCAGCCCGGCTCGAGAATCCTAACTGGCGATACAGATACGCCAGCGTAGCCGACCCCCAAGAAAACTGGCCTACTCTGTCGGGCTCACACGCGTCAACTATGTCGCGTGGCCTGAGCTTGTTCCCGCTCTTATCCGGAAACAAGGTACACCCGAGAAGAAGAAAAACATATGCAGCCAGCTGTGTGTCCTGCGTCCTACGTGCCGTAGGGTGCAAACATCGCTGCAAGACGGTTGCGATCTTAACGCCGCCGTGATCCCACACACCAAGTGCCGATGTGTACAGCGCAGCCCTATCCACCGCCAACAGCTCCGCTAGTAAATCTGCCTGATCCGCATCAGTGACGACAGATGCTCGGTTTCCCTCCACGGGAATCCCAAGGATGGCCTCGACGTCATGCAACATGATCGTCATCTCACCGAACGGAAGGTGGAACGAGTTCGTATCCGGCTGCCATCGCTCAACGAAAGCCGTGATCAGCGTCCAGTCAATCCTGTCGTGCATGGTGGCAGGAAGGTGACTCACTCTAGTGGCCCTCAATCGCCCGACCATCTCGCTCTCCTCCGGCCAAGCATCAGCCCAGCTACACAAAAACCTACAAGTCTTTTCCCGGGTTTGGCATTTCAAAATGCCTGTATCCAAAGCCCTCTCCTGGTCCTCCCAAATACGGGTAGCGATGTGTCCTAAAAAGCTAGGAATCACACTCCCGTCTATAGGTCCCCCGGCCACCTCACCCCTCACCATCCAAGAATCATTAAAGGCCCTCTCGACCGTTTTCTGCTACCCGCAGACACAGTGGACGCAGATGATGTGCCAGATCTACTAACAAACCTACCATCTCGACCCTTACGCACATCTACCCTATGCGTCTCATACGTATCATCAAGCCTCTGACTGAATGGACCGTAATCATCATATGGTCCACTCTGATCGTCGACATCCTCATCTGCATCATCCTCGTCCTCGACCTCCTCCTCCTCGACCTCCTCCTCCTCCTCCTCCTCATCATCATCATCATCTTGATCGTCCGCAGAACAGTGCACCCGTTCTCTGCGGGCCGAGGCCGAAATACCACGGGATCTAACGTGTCTGGGCCCCGAGCTCTCCATTGAGTAGATCGTACTCCTCACGACGTCAATACTCTTCCCCGCACCAGGTCTAAATTGCGATGCCTAACTCCAAGTAAATAACGAAACATAATAACGAAAACAAATTAAAAAAAGTCGAAAATAAACACAAAAGCAAATAAACAAGTCACGGAAATAAAATTATAAACATAAAAAATATAAATATATACAAGACAATATACATATAAACATAAAAACAAAATATAAATATGAACAAAACAATATACCAAAAACAAAATATATAACCAAAAAAAAAAAATATAAACAACAAACTAAAAAATGAAAAACATAAACAAAAACAAAAAATCAAAAATGCAAAGAAAAAACCAAAAACAAAAAACTAACAAAACTTAAAAAATTTAAAATTGCAAAAACTTAAAAAAAGAAGAACATCAAAATTTTAAAGAAAATTTATAAAATATAATTCAAAAAAAAAAAAAATACATAGGAACATAAAATTAAAAATTAAAACCAGATACAATTTTTTTTTTTTTAAAAAAAAATAGAACATAAAATTAAAACAAATAAAAAAACAAAATTTAAAAAAAAAAGATAAAAAAAAAAAGGGAACATACAATTTAAAAAAAAGAAAAACAAATTTTTTAAAAAAAAAAAAAAAAAAATTCGAAAATAAAATTTAAAATTAAAAAAAAACAAAAAAAAAATTAAAAAAAAATAAAAAGGAAGGAGGCGCCTAGGCAAGACGCCCGTACGGTGGTGGCGGCGCCTAGCCCAGACGCCAATACCACGGCCGTGGCGCCTAGCCTCTGCGCCGCCGCCGTGGTAGTGGCGTCTGGGCTAGGCGCCGCCACCACCGTACGGGCGTCTTGCCTAGGCGCTTCCTCCGTGGTGGTGGCGTCTCGCCTTGGCGCCCCACCGTCGCCGGAGGTTTTTTTTTTTTTAAAAAAAATTATAAAAATTAAAAAAATTACCTTCTGGCCGGCAAACCGCCTTCCGCCCACCGCCGGTGCCGCCACTTCCTTGCCGGGCCGCCTTGACATAGCTCTGGAAATAATTTAGAGAGAGAAAGTGGAAGTAGAGAGTAGAGAGAGAAATTGTGTGTTTTTTAGTATGAGGGCAAAAGTGTAATTTCACTCTTATTTTGTGGGCTTTATGTAGGAATTTGCGGGCGATGTTTAACAGTTCACTATTACTAAGGAGGAAGATGAAAGATGGTCATAGTAAACGGCGTTACCTAACAGCACAAGGCCCACCATTAGCTTACTTTTTTAAGCTTACTAGATTTTTTTTATTAATATTTCACTCTTGTCTCTTGAGATAAACCCATTTTGTTTATCCGTGGGATAAATGGGGGTATCCTCTTGGAAATCGTTAAATTCAAAACTTAAAAAATAAGGAACAAAGAAAGTCTATGATTCTAGATATCTCCTAGTAGAGCAAATACTAGTCAATCAAACTTATTATGTACATCAGGTGGCATTTTCGGTAAAAACTTGAAACGGGTTGGGGAATATGTGTAAATATACGTGGATGGGTCTCACACGGTAGTTTATACGTAAATTTGTTGACTAACGGTGAACTTAGTCAAAGCTCTAACGTAAAGTCCTGCCGTTTCTTTACTTCACTTTCCCAATCTGAATATCCCCCATTTACATTTTGACCTAGGATCATCTTCTCCAACATAACCAAAATTTGGAATTTCAGATTTTGATTATACACGACAAATTAAGCTGCCGTTTCATGCAATTGGGTTCTTCTCGGACCCAATTTCCAATTGAATATTGTCTTCATTGCAGTTACGGAGTCGCACTTTGCTGAAGTCAATTAAATTTCGCATTTAAACTGCAATTGGGATCGCAACACTGCAATATCGATCTTCTCCGACCTATTGAGTCAGAAATAAACTCCCAGCCATCTCTGCTGCGTATTTGCCGGGGTGGAATCAGTGTAAGTTGTTGGCTCTTAACGATTATGTTTATTTTCATTTTCTGCGATGTCTGCGATCCCAATTGCAACTGTATGGGATGATATCAAGGTAGGACCGATATCTTGTAAAAGCACGTGACCAAACTCTGAATAATTGTGAAAAGGCGCCGATATGCACCAGAAAGCAGACATATCGGCTTGTCGGAATTCGGCACGTGGCAACAGAAGCTCGACACTTGGCGCAGGAGGCTTTGCATGGATGAGAGCCACCTGTCAAAGTGGATCATTATAAATAGTAGGTAAGACCTCATTTATGAGGGCATTAATTACTCTCTCTCTCTCTACTTTCTCTCTCATACTTATCTTCTTCTCTAAAACATTTTCTGACTTTGTCATCGGAGTGGTTATCCCCGGACCACCCCGGGGTTAGCTAACTTCTTCTCATTGTGTAGGTTCTTAGCTTGCCGATAGGAGTATCAGGATCTCAGGTCCGAATTCTTGGGGAATCAGATCCAGACAGAAACAATTTGGCGCTAGAAGGAGGGGGCCTTGATCACTTCTATCGCCTAAGAACCTCACACAAAAAAAAAATATATACATAATAAAAACAATCATGGCCGGAAACAATTTGGTAGAACAGCCTCAGGTGGAGATAGTGGATGAAACCCACACCTTAGAGGATAATCAGTTTCACATGCCGATAACCTCCCCTGCAGGCGGAGGGGAGACAGAGGATCCTATGGCGGCATTCACACCAGATGAATTGGAGACAGCAGCAAGGGTGATGAGTGCAATGAGTAGGAAGAGAAAGGAGGCTGAGGCGGCACAGGCTGAAAGGGGGGCCGCTCAGGCCGATAGAGGAACACCGCACCGTAACCGGGAAGAGCAACATAATCAGTTGATGAACTCGCCTAGGAGATCCCGACATGAGTCGCCGATAAGATCGCACACAATGTCACGGCGGGTTGAACAATCCTCAAGTCACACTGTGAGTACGAGAACCCAACAGCAGAGGAGTTCGCAAGTGGATGGGCAGGTAGTGCGGGCAGTGGTGCAGTTAAGGGCATCTCCTTTTGCCCAGCATATCTTGGAACAGCTAATGGAAAAGGTGAAAATGCCGACTTGCAGGTATGATGGAAGAGGGGATCCGGAAAGATTTATAACGTCCTATGAGGGGCACATGATGTTGTATACCAACTCAGATGCAGTCTAGTGTAAGGTCTTTCCGACTACTCTGATTGGGGCTGCAGCCGATTGGTTCAACAACCTTGAAGTTGGGTCAGTAGATAGTTTTGAAGGATTGACCGAGATGTTTGTGGGTCAGTATGTCAGCAATAGTGTGAGGCAGAGAACCTCTGGAGAATTGATGGCCGTGGAGCAGAAACCGGATGAATCCTTGAGGGATTATATTAGACGATTTAACAATGAGGCAAATACAATCCCAAAACTGCAACAAGAAATAGCTGTGATGGCTTTAATGAATGGCTTGGTTGATTCTGATTTCAAACGATACCTTACAAGGAAAAACATGCCCACGTTAGCAGCGGCATTTAGTAAAGCTCATGATTACATTAAGAGTGAAGAATTGATGAAGACAAGTAGCACACATGTCGTTGCCGGAAAGGGGCAAAGCCAGTATGAAGGGACATCGTCTGGAGGAAGTAGGCTGAGAGCTCCTGCCCCAGGAAGGGGAGGAGGAAGCCGGCAAGATTCAAGGCCAACAAGGCTGCCAATGAGATATAACACTTACACTCCCCTGAATACACCAAGGGCAGAAATCTACTCAGTGAATCAGAATAGAGAAGATTGGTCAAGGTCGATTCCCATGAAGGCAAGGCCAAGGGATGTGAAGAAGTATTGTATGTTCCATAGGGATGTGGGACATTATACAGAGGAGTGTACGCAATTGAAGGATAACATTGAGGAGTTGATCAGGAAAGGGTATTTGACACAATATCGGCTGAACACAAGCAGGAATCAACAATCGGCACAAACAGTTGAGAGGCAACGGATATAGGCAAGGCCTGAAAGGACTCAAGGAGGAATAGTCGGATAAGGGGATGTAGGAATACCACCGCTGTCTACTGGAAGGGTAGATGTGATAACAGGGGGACCGATTCATGGAGGGACGATTAGTGGAGCAAAGAAGCATTTGGCTGAGCATCGTCACCTAGTTTGCGCCTTGGATGTGGACAATCGTCCTCGGCCAGCATCAATACCTCAGGTAGTGTTCACAGAAGAAGATGCAAGGGGTGTAGTGTTCCCGCATGATGACCCGTTAGTCCTAATAACTAAGATAAACGGGGCTGACATCAAAAGAGTGCTGGTGGATGGAGGTAGTTCAGCAAATGTGTTGTTTGTGCAAGCTTTTAATGAGATGAATATAGGAAGGCAGTACCTGAAACCGGTATCATATCCCGTAATCGAGTTCAATGGATCAACAGTGAGGCCGGAAGGGAGCATTGTGTTACCGGTTAAGCTGGGTGATGGGCCACAAGCAAGAGATGTGATGGCAGAGTTTCTGGTGGTGGATGTTAAGTCAGCCTACAACGCAATTATCGGCATACCGATAATACATGATATGCAGGCCGTCGTATCAACTTACCATCTGGCAATAGCTTATGTGTCAAATTTAGGAGCTGTGGAGAAGGTATATGGAGGTCAGGTGATGTCAAAAGCTTGTTACGTGACAGCTTTGAAGAACCCAGTTGGCAGTGCTCCAATACCATGCAATCCGATAAGGGAAGGTGAGCCAACAGTTCAAGATTTAACCATGAAAAACTTTGATTCAAGGCCTGAGGAAACACCAAGGTCGTTACCAGGGGGAGAAACCGTCCAAGTTGAATTGCAACCAGGCGACCCGAGTAGAACAGTGAAGGTTGGAACTGATATGGATGTGGATACAAGGTGTAATCTGATAAGCCTATTGCGTGAGAATGCAGATGTCTTTTCATTTTCGGCAAGTGAGATGCCGGGGATACATCCAGAGGTGATGGAGCATAAGTTGAATGTTGATAGAAAATTCAGGCCGATAAGGCAAAAGAAGCGCAATTTCTCAACTGAGAAAATAGAAGCAATTCAGGCTGAGGTAAATAAGCTCTTAGCGGTAGGGTTCATTGAGCCTTGCACATATCCGGAATGGTTGGCGAATGTAGTAATGATGAGAAAGCCGACAGGGAAGTGGCGAATGTGTGTGGATTTAACAGATCTAAATAAGGCTTGCCCTAAGGATTGCTACCCATTACCCCGGATAGATAGGCTGGTAGACTCAACCTCTGGTCATGCTATGCTCAGTTTTCTGGATGCGTTTTCGGGATATCATCAGGTCAGCATGCATAAGGCTGACAGGAAGAAAACGACTTTTATAACATATGTCGGTGTGTACTGTTATAAGGCAATGCCGTTTGGGTTGAAAAATGCAGGAGCAACATATCAAAAGTTGGTGGACAAGATATTTAAGAATCAGAAAGGCCGGAATGTCGAGGTATATGTAGATGATACGATAGTAAAGAGTAAAGAAAAAGAGGACCATATAGCGGATCTGAGGGAAACATTTGAGACGTTAAGGAGATATCAGATGAAGTTGAATACGGAGAAGTGTATGTTTGGGGTCAGATCAGGGAAATTCTTGGGCTTTATGGTCAGTAAACGGGGGATAGATGCAAATCCAGATAAGGTGAATGCGGTACTCCAAATGAAACAACCAAAAACCATTCGTGATATACAGAGATTGACTGGAAGGATGGCAGGATTGACCAGATTTATCAGCAAGTCAGCCGACAAGGCGCTTCCGTTTTCATGGTACTAAGAAAGAACAAGGCATTCGAGTGGGGAAAGGAACAGAGTGATGCCTTGGAAGTAGTAAGGAATCATCTCAGATCTCTTCCCACGATTGCCAGGCCCAAGAAGGGAGAAGTGATACAGTTGTATATTTCAGCATCACCAAAAACGGTAGCGGCCGTTTTGATAGTGGAAAGGAAGAAACAGCAGAAGCCGATATACTTTGTCAGTCATGTATTGAATGCGCCAGAACGCAAATATCCAGTGATAGAGAAGATGGCGTTAATAGTAGTAGTGGCGGCTAGAAAGTTAAGGCCTTACTTTGATGCACATCCAATAGAGGTGTTAACCAACCACCCTTTGGAGAAATCATTGCATAAAATGGATACATCTGGTAGATTATTGGCATGGGCAGTTGAGTTGTCGGAGTATGAAATAAGCTACAGGCCGATAACGTCAATTAAGGCTCAAGCAATGTCGGATTTCATTGTTGAAACCACATACACGGACGAAGAGGAAGAATTGGGCACATGGCGGGTATCAGTTGATGGTTCAGCTACGGCAACGGGGGCAGGGGCTGGAATTGTGATAACGGCTCCAGATGGGAAAATGTTTGAATATGCCATGAAGTTTAAGTTTAAGGCAACAAATAATGAAGCCGAGTATGAAGCTGCAATAGCCGGAATGCAATTGTCAATCGCAGCAGAAGCAAAGCGGCTGGTTTTAACAACTGACTCCCAACTGGTATCAAGTCAGTATAGTGGAGAGTATGAAACTCGAGAGCCAGCAATGGTGAAGTATTTGGAGAAGATGAAACAGTTAGCAGCGCAGTTACAATATTTTGAATAAAAACTGGTTCCGAGACTGAAAAATGCTCAAGCAGATGCGTTGGCAAGATTAGCAAGTTCAAGTTTTAATAACTTGGAAAGGACGGTCATGGTGGAGTATTTAAAGCAGAGAAGTATAGATGAGATGTCGACAGAGGTTTTGTGTATTGATGTTGGGAACCAGTGGTATGATAAAATACTGGCATACCTCATCCATGGTGCAGGGCCGGCAGATAAGGGGGAGTTGAAAAGATTAAGGAAAGATAGCGTGTAGTTTGTCATGTACCAAGGTCAGTTATACAAAAGGGGGTTTTCATTGCCATTGCAAAGGTGTATAACGGATTTTGAGTCAGCAAGGTTGTTAGAAGAATTGCATGAAGGTAGCTGTGGTAACCATCTCAGAGCAAGAGCCTTGTCCAGAGAAGCAATGAGAAGGGGATATTACTGGCCGACGATGAATGCAGATGCAATAGCTTATGTTAAAAGATGCGAGAAGTGTCAAAAGTTTGCCCCAGTTATCAACTTTCCTCCTAATGATCTGACTCCGATATTAAATCCAATTCCTTTTGCCCAATGGGGAATGGATATAGTTGGCCCGTTCCCATCGGCCACGGGTGGAAGGAAATTTATGATAGTGGGGATAGACTATTTCACAAAATGGATTGAGGCAGAACTAGTAATGAAGATAACGACATCAGAAGTGAAGAAGTTTATATGGAAGGGTATCTTCACAAGATTTGGGTTGCCGATGGCGATGATTTTTGATCAAGGAACCTAATTTGATTGTAAGCCAGTCAAAGATCTCTTAACGATGTACAAGGTGAAATTTGCTTATGCAGCAGTATGCCATCCACAGTCTAACGGCCAGGCAGAAGCAGCAAATAAGCAAATTATAACGGCAATTAAAAAGAAGATCGAAGATGCAAAAGGTTTGTGGGCAGATTTGATACTGGAGATATTGTGGGCAAACAGGACGACGATTAGAGAGGCCACAGGTGAATCACCTTATACTTTAGTGTTTGGAACAGAGGCAGTCATACCAGCAGAGGTTGGGTTGCCGACATTTAGGATTCAGCATTACTGTGAAGACCAAAACGATTTACTCCTACGACAACAGTTAGAATTTTTGCCAGAGCTCAGAGAAAAAGCAGCAGTTAAGTCAGATGTATATAAGGAAAGAATGTCGAGGGCCTACAACAGAAGAGTATCTCATCGGCCGTTAAGTGTGGGGGATTTAGTACTGCGAAGAACAGCGGCGACCGGTAAGGGAAATGAAGATGGAAAGCTGACTGCAAGTTGGGAAGGACCTTATCGGATTAGAGATGTCGTCATCCAAGGATCGTATTATCTGGAAACTTTGGATGGGACACCCCTAAAGAATGTATGGAACACGGCTGTGCTGAAGAAATACTACGTATAATGTACAATTTTCATGTGAAGCTGATATTGAAAAAGGGTATCAGTGATGAATAAAGAAATATTCAGACAACGTATATTGGAATAGGCATCCTCCATTTAACGGAACACCGTTAAATGGGACGGACAACTCAAAACCGCTTCCGTGAAGTTAATAGATATACAACCTGATTATCTGTATACGTTAACTCACGAGGTTGCTGGTTCAAAATATAATACCGGCCAAATCAATTCGAGTATACGCCGATATGAGGCGTAGCTTAGAGAGTGATCGCCGAGAGGGTACCTAACTGGCTGAAACAACAAAGCAGTAGGTGACCAATGTTATAATCTGGACCAGCAACGAATGATAATTGCCAAGTATACATAGTTCTAACACGAACTATGTACACTGGGGGGAGTAAAGAATGAGATAAATATCGTGCATTGATAGTTTTTAAATGACAGGTTGTTATGATATGATATCTTCATAATTTGATAATTGTTGAAAGTTGTCGGATATCAGACAAATCATTAGATAAATCTTTGTTTTTTGTGAACTGTCTTTTGCATATCTCTGTCTTTTGCATATTGTGAATTACAAGGCAATGTAGTTACGATAACATTGTTTAATTAAGCAAATTAGCAAGTGATAAGCAAAAACAACTTAGTTACGATAAGAGGTGTTTAAATTTGCAAGTAGTTGATAAACAACGAAAATGAAAATGAGTTAGGTTTACATGACAGTAAAGTTGACAATCGATAGGCATCACCACAAAAAAGGGGTATATGCCGATAAAACAGCATTGTCAAAATAAATGTTAAGACATACAAAAGGCAATAAAAAGAGAGTTACGGCTGATAAGGCCCAATAATACAAGACCCACAAGAAGATGTCGGTGATGACTGCCCGCCCCTTCAAGCTTGTGCGTTCTCAGACACTGGAGAGTTTAAAATGCTGGGATATTTAGGGTCGTCATCAGCGCTGGGCACCAAATTATACAAGTCCTCTTTAGAGAATTGCTGTGTCTCGAAGCCGGAAGGGATCTTGTAAGCTTCCTCGTTGAAAGCTTTTTCAACTTTGGCCCAATCTTCCTTCTTCCAACCGGCAGCATGGGCAACACATCTCTGAGCAGCAGTCCAACCTCCATCGAAACAATCTTGGAGTTTGGAGCAGAACTCGTTCGACGCTAAATAACGGCCCACGGCTCTCTGACAAATACCAAGCTTATCAGCTTCCATTTGTTTAACCTTCTCCTCAAGGTTTTTTATTTTAGCTCTGGCGTCGCCGAGATCCTTTTCAACTGAAGGAAGGCGCTCAATGGCTTTATCTTTTTCAGCAATTTGAGTCTTCAGACTCTGCACTTCCAATTCTAGACCAGCAACCTTCTCAGCCTTAACTTTCAGTTCTGACATCTCCTTGTCGTCTCTTTCTTTTATTTTCTTCAAGTCATCTAAGTCTCTTTCAGCATTATTGATGATTTCCTGCATGACACTTTGGCTGGAGGAGGCTTGATAATGCTTCTCTTGATAATAACGGTACATCTCAATGAGCTCTGTACCAGACATGATGGCCTAAAAAAAATGTAAATAAATAAATATATGCATAGTTAAGAATAAGATAAACATTATAAGTCTATAGCAAAGCTGTATGCCAAACATAAAAATATGTAAAGGAAAAGTTAGAATACCTTCATCATGTTGTGCATGTGAATAGCAGCAAGGGGACCGATTGGACCAGCAGGTCTGTCCATCGGCAGAGTAAGATTTCTCATAAGCCGATAACCAAGATTCCCACCTTGCATTGGGTCATCGGTAATCATAGATTCATTCCGGCCGACATCCATCCTGGGTTGCCAACGGTCTCCGGAATGGCCAGCAGGGACAGCGAAACCCTTCAGAACTTCGTCTGGAAACCTTCCACAGACTCGTTCAATCCATTGATTGGACCGATAAGTCAGGGCCGAAATTCTTGAATCAGAGCCAACCGTAGTAGGGGCAATTGTGACGGTTGGCTGAAGCTGACGAGGGGACTCGGCAGTAGTGAGATCTTCAATCTCAATCCCCTGAATAACCTTCTTTACAATGGCCTCAGGGCTCTTAGTTTTGGTGGTGGGCGGAGTCTTCTCGGACTCCGACTGGTCCTTCTTCTTCCCACCGCGCCCTTCAGATTGTCTGGGGCTGGAGATCACAACGACTCCACCTCGCCGATTGGCCAGGGATGTCGTCTTTCTCTTTTTTGCATTATCATCAGCCATGATCTCAGCTCTTCTTTTGGCACTGATAGCCGGAGCGCGGCCGCAAACGGTAGCAAGAGTATCGTAGGGGATTGAAGCTTTAGGCAACGTCTGAGAACCCTTTTCCCGTCAGAAGATAAGCCAAGTTGCCTGTTGTCCAACTTATCAATACCTGAGAGTAAAAAATGAAAATTCAATCAGCCAGGTGCAAACAATTTTGTAAAAAAAAAAAAAAAACAAAACAACAAAAGAAAGAGGTCGATAAAATAAACAGTACCATAATGGTCAGTCCAACAGAGACCGACACGAGATAACAGCGCGTTACCTAGAATGTAACTCACATTCGGCACCCACACCTTAGGAACTATGCGGACCTTGCCGTCACCTTCATCAAATTCTGAGACGTCAAAATGATTGACGGCTCTCTCCTCATGTTTACCGAGATCTCTCTCGGGAATTGAGTCAAAACGAGGATGAGGCTGGAAAAAGGTTCGTCTCAAAGGAAAGTCCTCAGGAACCGACATGAAAAAGAACCTGACTTGCCAACCCTTGCAACTTGTTAGTTTAGGGTGGACGGTATATTTGCGAGGTTGGGTATACAAAGACCACCACCCATCTGACTGACCATCTCTCTTCAGAGTAATCAGTCGTCTAAAAACGTTAAGGGTTAGGGGATAGTTTCGATACAGCATAACCCAGATGGTGGCAATAACGGCCCGAATAGTGGGAGGAGTCACCTGAACTAAACAGACGTTCCAGGCCTTCAGAATTTTTGCCACAAAGGGATGTAAAGGAAAGCGGAGGCCGAAGTCTAAATGCTTCATATAAACGGCCACGGAACCTGCCGGGCAATCTAATACCGAGGTTCCAGAAAGGGGAATTGACAGCTCATACCCGTCAGGTAAGTTGAAAAATTTCTTAGCACGACGGCAATAATCTTTTTCAATTGCCATTTTCCTAAAATCGTCATTTATTTTTGCCTTAGCCACTTTTCCACCTCTGGGAAGAGTAATAGGTTGTCGGAATTCAGCTCCGTCAGTTTCAGAGTTATAGCCCTCGTCCAGGTTCTCTTCCTGGATAACCTCTGCCGTCATGTCAACAATGTCTTCCCTACTCTCATTGTTAATACTACCTTCTTGAGTCTCGTCATCTCCTAAGACCGAACCCATGAAGTATAAGATGGGTTGAGATTCATTGTTTTGCCATCATAAGAAGGGAAAAATGGAGGGGGGCAAGGAAACGATCCATCAACGAAAGGCCAAAATCTGGGAGCACCTGCCTCTCATCGATCCAGCGCTTGTGGCTGCAGCCATGCTACGGATCCAGCGCCGCATTCGCGCTCTGGAAGACAGCAAACGGGACCTAAATTGACGGCTGAATCATGAACGGG